ACCCAGCTCAGGTTGGGGGTGGTCACTATACCCCCCACCCCTTCCCCAGGTGAATCCATGGTACAGATACTGGTATTCCCGTCACTCTCGTGGTCTGTGTTCATAGAAAGCAGCAAAAGTTCCCCTAATCCAATAGTGAGTTGTATTTATGTAACTCGAATAGTCCATAAATACACAAATAGTCTGGAGGTGGGTGGGCAGAAGTGGCAGCATTACAAGTGTTGTCTACCCTGGGAGTGTCTACATCTGCACTGAGACACCTAAAAGTGACCTCGGACTTTTAGTTGGATGTAAATTGCCTTCTTTTGCCTTCTCTTTCTCCAGCACACTGCTGGGTGGGTGAGCTGCTGGCCTGTGTGTGTGTGTGGGGTCAGCACCACAGGACTTGGGGGCCTCTCTGTCAGCCAGTACAGCTGTCGCTGGATCCTTGTCAACACGCGATGAGCTCTATTTGACCCAGTTGTTTCAGACTCAGACACTCAGAGATATTTTAAATGTGTTGTAATGACAGGGCACCTAGCCCTTCCTCTGCCTCATGTCTCCCTGGATGCCAGTGGAAGGGCAGCTGGGCGAGGAGGTGGCCTTCCAGCTGTGGTCCTCATTTCTGTGGGCCTCAGAGCACTTATCCCTCACAGGCAGGAGAGCCCTGTGCTCTTCTAACATGCTTTCTCTCAAACTAGTGGATTCTTTTTTAAAAAAAATATATTTTATTGATTTTTTATGGAGAGGAAGGGAGAGGGATAGAGAGTTAGAAACATCGATGAGACAGAAACATTGATCAGCTGCCTCCTGCACACCTCCCACTGGGGATGCGCCCGCAACCAAGGTACATGCCTTTGACCGGAATCGAACCTGGGACCCTTGAGTCTGCAGGCTGACACTCTATCCACTGAGCCAAACCGGTCAGGGCAAACTTGTGGATTCTTTATTCAGTCGTCTCCTTTAAAGACTCAGACCTTTGGGAACCCAAGCCTGGGTGACCTTTATTTTCCCCCTGAGTTGGTGTCATTCCTTCCCTGAGGTAAAGGGCACGGTTCACCTACAGCTTGACTGGGGTGGAGTGAAGGAGAAATCCTGGGCGAGTCAGTGGGTTTCTCTAGGAAGAGCCAGCGCAGGCCCAGGGGCTTGCATGTCTGCAGACCCCGGTGAAGGGCTTTTGCTGCCTGTTTAACAAGCCTGAGTTGATTTATACCTATGTGTCTCTCCTAGAGTCCCTTCCCTCTGGCACCACCACCTTTTAAGGCTTGAGGGGAAGAGATGGGATAAACATAGAATGGGGCGTCGCCTCCTTGCCTCAGCGGATCAAAACTCCTAATTCCTGTCAGCCTCTGGGAGCCTGAGACTCTATACTTTACATAAGCCTTAATGAGCACTTTGAGGAGTGACAGGTGGTGCGACCACTTATTTTTAACCCGACACTGTGCTCCTGAGCAGGGCAAGGTGTCTCACCCCCACTCCCTGCGGGGTGGGAGCAGCGGACACGAAGGTGACTTGCGGTGGTCTTCCCAGGCCGATGGCCCCTTGGAAGAGCTCTCGCAGAGTTGTACCCACATCAGGGAACACGGCTCAGACTGTGTTGGCCAAACTTTTGTCTTCTGGGCCTTATTGGGAGAGAAGGAGATGCCCTATGATGGGCAGAGGAGGCCAGCTGTGCTTTCTCAAGTGTATGAGCACTTGTCCTTTAGGAATAGCTCTAGGGACTAATTGGGGTCTTTTTGTGCACGAAGTGTCACTAGGATTGTGGAGTCCTAATATGAGCCATCAGAAGGGGACAAGTTGCTGGAGAACTTGCTGCTTAACTACTGGTCACCAGGAGACCTGGGCGGAGCTGCCATTCCTGAGCCCCTCAGCACCCCCAGCCGGGTCTGCACGATGCTTGTCTGGCTTGGGGCAGGGGCAGGGTCTGAAGAAGTTCAGTAGTAGCAGAGGGTGCCAGAGCCAGGCCTCCTTTCATGCTGTGACCAGAGGGAAACAGGCGCACATTGCTGCTGACCCTGCACTGAGCTGCAGCCGGGGTGGCTTGTATTTCCCAAACACTCACCAGATTTCAGAGCCTGAGGTGCCATTTGAAGGAATCTGAGAAAATTGGGGTCTGCTCAGCAGTGATTCACTGAGTGGCTAGTCCTTACCTCTGTGCCAGGGCACAGTGGGGCTAAAACAGCCTGGACCCCTCATGGAACTTCCCCTGAGCAGCAGAGACAGGCCTACATGTATACATTAGTTACAGACTAAACAAAGGCAGGCATGCAGAATGTTGTAAGGGGATGGACTTGAGGGTGTCTGGGGACTTTTCAGGGAGGTTTGGGCCCTTTCTCCTCCTGTTGTCCGCCCTTGAGCCCCTCCCAGACTTCAGTCCTCACTCTTCTGGTTTTTTTTTCTAAGAACTGCTTCCCCTGCCTGGCTAAGTCAACAGGAGCCAAGGAGATGGGGGTAGGGAGGGGTGGGGGGAGGGGAGGAAGGGGCATGAGGAAGGTTGTCAGTGCCTGGAAAATCACTAAGCTCTTGTCCCCCCCTCCACCCACCCACTCCAGGCTGATAGCTCTGCCAGCCCTCAGTTTCAAGGCCTCTCTAAAAGCTTTTGACAAAAGAGAGGTTCCTTTCCTCCCCCACATCCTTCTAGCAGCCATGAATCCATTCCTGGACTACCTTCACCTCCCAGACGTGCCATCTAAAGCCTAATGGATAATTTTTAATTACTTAGTGGGATTCCCCCCCCCCCCTTTATCTCCTTACAGGGTGAATTTGAGACTTAGGTGTGATAGGGAAAAGACGCCCTGGGATTTAAAAACGGGGTTGCCAGCTGCCTCCGGTCGAAGGCAGATAGGGGAATTGAATAATGCATCTTAGAAGTGTTTATTAGCATTCTGATGAAGACAAGTGAGGGATCTGAAAGGAAATTCCAGAAATGTTGCTAATTTGTTCCCTGGATAAATCAATTGCTCTTCCTACAGAGCATCTCGGCCTCTCTGTTCAGAATCCAGGCTTCAAAAGAAGCCCTGTTGGAAGCATGTGTCTCATCCCCTGCACCTGGCAAGGGGCTCAGTAAATATCTCCTGAGTGAATTCAGCCCTCACCAGGCTTTGGGGGCCATGGAGGAGTATCTGAGCAAAGCTATAGGTATTCTCTCCAGAACAGTGCACCACCACAAAGACAAGCACACAGTCTGATGGGCACTTTCGGATTCGCAGGTCAGAAGCAGAATTTACCTCTGTAAAGCTCCCTGAACACACACACACTATGCCCTGGTATCCCTCTGATGCCTCTGTTTATTTTTTGTGTGAGCAATGGGTGGTGGTGCCAGGAGGGCCCAGGTTTGGAGCCACATTTCAGGGCATCTTCTCCAGTTACCACGGACCCAACAAATGTGGGCTTCCCCCTACCACCAAGAAATTGGGGAGATTCGGCAAAACTGAGCTTGTATTCCTCAGGGTAATAATTGGCTAGGCTGAGTGTCCTTGGCCATTTTTTGGAGGGCATAGCCTTCTAGTTTGTTGTGGCCCCTCATCACCCCCAGTGCTGGGACCACCTTCAGTTCTCTTCATTGCCCCATTTGATCTGCTCTTTTCTTAGAGCACAGTTAAGTAAAAAACTTTCATCTCTGAAGACATACTGTATGTCATGACCCCGCCCCCACACACACATATGCATACATAAAACACACATGTATTTTACTCATCCAGGGTGTCTGCAAGGCATCTGAATTTGTGACCCGGATCAGGTTTGCTGTGAGGGTTCAGTGGACTGATGCAGGCAAAGTCATCAGCACAGTGCCTGGTACTCAGCAAGTGCTCACTCAGTACATCCAGTGAGTGTTACTATAGCTGTTTCCTTGGGGCTTGGGGCTAGGAGGCTCTCCTGGAGTCCAAAGGTATCACCAACCTGCTCCCAATGGGTGTTGTTTGGGACTGGGGCGCCCTCTGGTGGCCACTCTTCCCACTCACACCTAGGCTCCTCCAGAAAGAGTTTTGGCTCCCTTTCACCTGGCACTCCGCATCCCCCTCTGCCCCTGCCCTTACGCTCGCCCCGCCCCCCGCCCGCCCCAACACACACACACAGGGAGTGGGCGAGAGGTGGGGCCAGAGACAACATATTGCTCACCATTTCCGTTTTCTCCTTCCTGAGTTGGTGAGGTTAGGGTCACTAGTTATGGGGATAGGAGAAGGGGCTTTTAGGTGGGGGTGGCTGCATGACCCTGGGGAGGGGGTGAGTGTCTTCCCTCCTCATACCTGCTCCATTTTCTTCCCAGAGAACCACTGGTTCATGGACTCCCAAATCCACCTCCAGACGGCACAGGATAGCAGGAGGGCAGCACATTCACAGAGGCTCCCCAGGCTATTATGAGGTAATTTTATTTCTTTTCAGTTTAGGTAAAAATAGTAAATACAAGATAATCTTAATAAAGGTAAAAATACATCATTTGGATTTTGAACAGTGCTACCTACACTGCAATTTTTGATTTAGTATTTTTAAATTTTTTATAAACAAATAGAACTATTTTGCTATTAGGCTATCTGTGTTCTCATCTGGCACTTAAGAATAGATCACAGGTTACCTCCCGGTTCTGTTTGGATGTGTGGGTGGCAGGGAGGGGTTGAGAAGGGGCACATGGGGTGAGGTGGTTTGTCTTCCCAGGATACAGACGGAACTGTGCAGGGGGAGGGTGCATGTGCATCCCAGAAGGCCTTTTCCTGCACTAGCCACCGGATGTATGTCACTGTGGCTGGACTAAAGGTCTCACACGTGTATGTGTGTGAGTGTGGGGGCACTTCCTCCCCTCCTGTGGTCATGTTTCTCATTCAACAGCCTAGATTCATGACAGTTCTGGATCCAGGCAGGCCACTGGGCTACAGATATCAGCAAGGCTGCTCAGGACAGAGCCAGTGGATCCCTCTAGGGTCCTAGGGGAGTGGTTTTGGGACCCTTGCCACCAGGGCTGGTGGCCAGGGCATTAAGCCTGGCCTTGGAATGCTGGTAGAAGTTATAGATGCCCATATGGGCTGTTAAATGTCTTTACCCTTGTTCACCCTCAGGTGGTCTTTGTTTAAATTCTTTCCAAATTTCTCACTGAGTTGTTGGATCAGGTCTGCCAGCTCCCCAGTAGCTTGAGATTTCTCCTCAAGAAGCTCATAGCGCAGGCTGGAGATATCTTGCTTGATTTCCTTCAGTTCGCCTGCAAGGACAGGTGAGATTTTGGTGAGTGTGAGCAGGCAGGAGGCGCTCATGCCACATGCATTTGGGCGTTTGTCTTTCCAGCAGAATGCCAGGTTACTGGTCTAGCCCACCAGGGGTGTTGGTGAGGGGACAGGGGCTTCTTTTTGACCTAAGTACTGCCCAGCTGCTACCACTAAAGGACATACCCATTCTATTTGAGACTGCTCTCCTCCCATTCCTGGTTAAGCTCTCTGGTAAGGGTTTGAACTAGATTGGAGGAGTCAAGATCATGGTTGTAAATTGCTAGTGTCTATTTCATATAATGATTGTTAGAATATTGGTCTTAGAGCCAATAAAGGTAGATTTTAAGAGTCTGAGTAACACCCTCATTAACTGGAACCCTTGTTTTCATGATGCACCTGTATTGTTCTGTCATTATTTGCAGAGGGGAGAAACTCCCGAGTGCGAGGGGAGCAACTTAGCTTGGTTAACTGGGCCATAGAACTGGGCAGCCAACACAGGAGCCGGGCCCGCCCCGACCACGTAAGCAGCACTATGTCATGGAAGCCCTGTGACAAGCCTACTGCCCCCTTCTTCCATACAAGGGACCCCCAGGTGAGGACGTCCACTTATTTCCACAGTGAACCACAGGGTTAGAAATCCACGTGGACCTGGGCTGGGAACTGTTTTATTAACCACAGAGCTGAGTTGAATATTTCCTGATATTATAGATACTGAAAGTCACTGCCTGAGGACACATTATTCACATCTGTTTCCTAGGTGTGCCTTACATACATACATTATAGAGGTCCTAAAGGTACACTTCGGTCAGTTTTGACATCCCTCAAAACTCACTGGGAACTTCACTGAACCGTACTTTCTTGGTGTAATTCCAGGGGCATGAAACCTGAGCAGCCCTACCTTCTATGATCAGGTATCTTCTTGTCAGTCACAATTACACATGCTCGAGGCAATTTTATGATTGAGGTAGAAAAGTAGAGGTAGGTAGTAGGGCTGTTGCTCAGTCCCTAGATAGCTTCAGTCCCAGGGTGAAGCAGAGGGTCACTGATATTGACCAGACTCTTCCTGTAGGCCCCTGTGGCTCAAGAGAGGGGTAGACTAGTGCCTTTATTTAAGGAGGAGCTTGTTTCATTGGGTCTGGATGTGTATTTTTAACAAGTGACTCTGAGGTGGGGTTGAGAAACTGGGGTGGTCAGATTCTGAGAGCCTGAAAGTGAGAGAGGATGGAGCCAGCTGGACTGAGACAGTGGCAGAATCAGAAGGAGGTGTGTAGTCTGCTGTAACCTGCATGTGCACCATGGAATGAGGAATTCTGGGCCATCCTGAACTCAATGACCATGAGGCCAACTCAAGGCAGCCACCACTGTGGTAGGCAGAATAATTATTCCACCCCCCAAAGATATCCTGATCCTAATCCCTGGTGTCCCATCTATGAATATGTTATGTGACTTGGCAAAAGGGAACTACAGTTGCAAATAGAATTAAGGTTGCTAATCAGCTGACCTTAAATAAGGAGGTGATTTTGGTTTATCCAATCTAATCACAAGTCTTTAAAAGTGGAAGAGTGGGTCAGAGAGATGTGATGACAGAAGGAGCATGGGAGGTGGCAGCATGAGAAGTGGGGGTGGGGGAGGTGTGTGTCCCACTGCTGGTTCTGAGATGAGTGTCTCCATGCTACAGCCAGACTAGAGGACGGACTCGAGATTAGAGCTAAGGGCTGTTTCAGCGGATAGCCAGCAAGGGACTAGCGGTCTCAGTCCTACACACCTCCTTCTGATTCTGCCACTGCCTCAGGTCCAGCTGGCTCCATCCTGTCTCACTCCCAGGCTCTCAGAATCTGACAACCCCAGTATTTCTCAACCCCACTGTGATTGTAGCTTGGTGAGACCCTGCCCAACTCCTGCCGCCCTGCAGGAAACTGATCCAGTCTCTTACCTTCATTGACTTCATCATTTTCTCTGTCCACCTGGGCCTTCAGGACATATCTTTTTATGAGCCGTTTCATGATTTTCTGAAATGTGAACACAAGGAAGGCATCAGACAAGCTTGGCTAAGCACAGAGGCAGCCTGCACTGTGTATGTACAATTCCCCTGCAGATTTTGGTCAGCTGATGGGAGTCTACCCACACTTGGTGCCCTGCCTCGTGGGGGAACCTGGGCCAGTCCCTCTGTTTAACTCCTCCCCCAAGGATTTAATACCACCTGACCCTGGATGGAAGAACAGGATACTCTCAGTGGCAGGAGGGCGAGCCAAAGAGAGAGAGAGAATCATCTAAGATCCATGGACACTGCTCTAAGGTCCAAGGCCTAACCCATCCCTGCCCTTCTCTGTGACCTCAGCCTGTTATGTCCTCAGCCTGTTATGTCCTCTTCTTGGGGCTTCAGCTCCGAAACATTTTCTTCTAGTTCAACAACTGATGTGATCAGGAGGGAGTACTAAGTCTTAGCAGCCAGCCTGGTGTAGCTGTCTCCCTTTGAGGTGCTGTGTGTGAGTGGAGATGTGCTTAGTACAGAATCAGGACCAGGGTTGGAGGACAAGCCCACCATACATTGGAAAATTCCTACTATAGGCAGAAACAGATATAGCCAGGCTTGGGAAGTTTTGTCAAGAAACCCCACGTGTCTGATCCTGCATCCCTTGTCATGTAGGAGGGGAAGGATTTGGCTTGTAGATTCATTTAATATGCAGACACTGGATTCTTTACGCAAATAAGGCATGAACAAACAGGAGACACCAAGAATAGAGCCAAGTGTAAGAAAAACTAAAGGGGGTGAACTTTGGATTTTGCCAGCTAGTTGTTCCAAGGTTCTTGCAAAATCACAGGATTTAAAAGTATTCTGGTAGCTGAGACTTGAATCTTGCAAGAGATGAGCAGCCAGGCAGAGAGGGAGGGATTCCCTGCTCCTTGGTCATACCTTCCTATGATCTGCTCACCTGCTCACACCTGAGGACTGGGGACAGTAGAGCATTTTCTAGATTGAAGGGACCTGAATTCTGTCCCTCGTTTAGCTGTGGGATGTCAAGCAGGTTACCTTCTCTCTGACTACATGAGCTCAGGAAAAGCTTCTTGTAAGTAAAAGGCATGATGCAAAGAGCTAGAGGATTTAACTCATTATCATCATCAAACAGTGCTTCTCTCAGTGCCTTAATAGTGAAGACCTTGCTGAGAAGATGTCTCCTGGCCCTGTGATTCCAAGACTTAGACTGGACCTGGCAAAAGCTCTCTCTGGTGAGCTCTGTCAGTCCACTTAGACCAGTGCTGTCCCTCCCCAGCCCTTAGCTGGCTGAGGGTCCAGTTGCTCTGTGGTTTGAATTATGATCCAATTTCAGGCTGAATCATTAATTAGCAAGTTCCCTTCCTGCTGTTCTTTCTCAGAGAGGCCTGAGTCTTGTCATGTTAGTAGTTAGTGCCAGACTCCTCATTGATATTCTTCTGGTCATTGAGGCAGGTTACCTAAGTTACAAGAATATATGCCTTTCCATGGGGCTCATTAATGTTCTTTTCACTTTGAATTGAAGAAACAAAACAAAACTTACCAAAAACCAGTCTCTGAGAAAAACACACACACACACAAACAGAACAAACAACCCAGATACCAAGCATCTAAGATCCTTACTGAATAGGAATTCAGAAGTATTCTCCCACAGCAAACTTTCAGGCTAGTACAGCGGTTCTCAACCTGTGGGTCGCGACCCCTTTGGCGGTCGAACGACCCTTTCACAGGGGTCGCCTAAGACCATCCTGCATATCAGATATTTACATGACGATTCATAAGAGTAGCAACATTACAGTTATGAAGTAGCAACGAAAATAATTTTATGGTTGGGTCACAACATGAGGAACTGTATTTAAAGGGCCAGAAGGTTGAGAACCACTGGGCTAATACAACTTAAGAGGGTCTAGTTAGTTGTTGCTTTTCAAGAAAAATAGGAGAATAGTGTGACCATCTGTCAGTTGCTTACAAACTTCATGTCCTGATGGGGACCTAGCTTCCCCTCTGACATGTGCATGTCCGACAACTTGGGATCAGCAGGAGCAAGATGCCAGTCTTGTCCCCAGGAAGCCTGAAATAGTTAGAAAATGCCCCCAAAGCTCTATTAAAATGGATACTACACAGGATCTCTGCTTCCAGAAAAGATGGACATTTAAAGCCCTCCCTCCTTCACTGCATTAAGGAAAGCGTGTTCCTTTATGATTAATTTGCGATATCTCCTTGCTAGCTTCCATAGAGTCCCTTCACTTCAAGGAGATGATAAGCTTTCCCCAGGTTTACATACTTTCATCGTTGGCCACTTGGCCCACCTCTCCCATGCATTTAGCAAGAGCAAGAGAGGAGTCTATTTAGTGACATGATTCAGGCAAAAGAATTAATACTGAGATGGACAATGGGTAAGGATGATTGTGACCTTGAGACCTAAATCCAGGGAAGAAGGCACACAGTTCCTCTTGCCCAGATTCCAAGAGGCTGCTGATGTCTGGATGCTGCTGGTGAAGGGAAAATAGAAAGTCTTTCTGTGGAAGAGACCACTCTCTCTGTGCAGCCAGGGCAGCTAAAGACATAGATGAAGGAGAGAACACATATGCTATGTCGAAGATGGCAAATGAAGTAGAATCCAAAGGGAAGCAAGTATTTTCACCTAGGAAAATAGAATTTGAGGAATTTGGAAGAGAATGGACAGAATGGATCCTAGGACAGTCATGTGTTACCCTGGATTCATCAGACACCAGAATAGAGGAAATCAGCACTGGCAAATTGTCTCTTCTATTTGCTTTGATCGCTACAGAAAAGGCCATATAGAATGTGAAAAGGAGGACTTCCCATTGGATTGGGGGGAAGGTATTGTATCATCAAGGATGGGCTTATTCGAATGATGGACTATGCCTAGATTCTGTGTTTCATTTGGTATATGGCTTGTTGCGATTTCCATGAAGGAAATCTACCTCTCAAAGAGTGCGTATACAGGGTCAGTACACACCCTAAGAAATTGACACACTGGATCTTGGAACAGATCATGGGAGCTTTGATAGAAGGCACACTATCGCCACCTTGTTGATATCATGGTTTTGTTCCATTGTTTAATCTCATATCCATAGAACCCAGGCTGGGGAAAAAAACATTGAAAAAGTGAGGAACCATTTTCGTTAAAAATAACAATTCAGATCCCTGGAAGCCTAAGACAGCAAAGCACAGAGATCCTCTGAAGGAAATGCCTTCCCTGACAATGGAGAGCAAGCCAAGAACAAAGAACTGACAGCTTAAAAGAAATATCTGAGGGCACTAAGATTGAACAGTCAAGCAGATCTATGGAAGAGACACAAGGGAAACAAGCTTCAATGGGTGAACAACGAGCTTTTGTGTTACTGGGAATGTTACAGAATTTCTCAGAACCGAGAACGTGTCAGAGGCTGGCGGCGTTTGTGCTCAGTGAGATGGCAGCTCTGGGTGCAGCCTGGATAGTAAAACAGAGGGAGCAGATTGGGCTTCTCCTGATCTCTGCACATTGGAAGTTGCTTTGGGAAGAAAGCAATGCAGCTGGGAAGCCACCAGTGGGCCCAAGAAAAAAGATGAGCCTTGTAATTCCTTGTCTGAGTCCTTCACTGTGCTTCCCAGTTACTGCTGCTAGCTGGTGAGAGCGGAGTGCCTCCGCTGCTCCTTGCCTTCCCTCAGGCTGCAAAGGCTCAGCTGAATCTCTTCATAGTGACTGTCAAGCACAGGAAGGGCAGGTCCAGAAAGGCTCTAATGCAGCGGTTCTCAGCCTGTGGGTCGCGACCCCTTTGGCGGTCAAAAGACCCTTTCACAGGGGTCGCCTAAGACCATCCTGCATATCAGAAATTTATATTATGATTCATAACAGTAGCAACATTACAGTTATGAAGTAGCAACGAAAATAATTTTATGGTTGGGTCACAACATGAGGAGCTATATTTAAAGGGCCAGAAGGTTGAGAACCACTGCTCTAGTGCAACACTGTGAAGATGAAGGGTGGGCCAGTGCCTGGGCAGCGTGTGTGGTGAAAGACTGTGTCCTTCTGAGTCAGATCTCAGTTCAACCAGCTGTGTGACCTTTACCACTGAGCATCAGTTCTCTCATCTGTAAAATGGGGTTAAAGATACTGCCCCTCTCACAGCAATATGGTGAGATCATACCAGTGCTCTCGTCTAGTCTGCTCCCAGCTGTCCTTTCAAGTCTTCTCAAGGTTTACTCCTGTGTAAGCAGAACTGGTGAGCAGGGCTGAACAAAGGACAAATGTAAGGTGCTCTCTGCTCCTGTTTACTGTCCTCTGACAGCTTTGGTTCAGTTTTCCTTCCTTCTTTTTTTGTGACAACTGGTTGAATAAGTAGCCTCAGGCTTTTCATGGTGGATTCACAGAACACTGGGTGAGCAGCTTTCCAAGGTTATCAGTAGCTTGAAGCTGCAAACTGACCAGTTTCTTTAATCATAGCAGAAAACTCTCCAAGGGATGGGAGGCTGCCAGGCTCACTCAGAGATGATGAAGAACAGAAATGGGATGGCACTGAGATGGCCTTTGAAAAACAGGACATACACCACATAACGAGTCTTCCTCTATCTCAGCAGGAGAGATTTGGCCCTTAACCCCAGAGTTATCTATCTTTTCGATAACACAGATAATCTAAACTTCTCTCTGAGAATCTCCTGTAAAATAACTCAAAGCAGATCAAACTGGGCAGGCCCGATTTTATGTGAGATTAAATATAAGATTTGCCCATTGCCAATTTTTAGCCTGTGTCATCTGATAATACTAGTATTTTGAGGGATGAGTCATTTCTTAGTTGTACTTAAATCCTCTTCACCACACAGCTGACTTCTGAAATATAGATGGAGATTCAATTAAGGATCTGTGTCTGGAAGATGCTACATCTGCAGTTGCTCCCTCTGGGATGGTGGCGCTAGGGACACATCACCTGGGCCCAGAGGAACACTCAGAACAGCTTCAAATTTACATCTGATAAGAAATGATCAGCATGGATCAAACCGCTGATCATAAGGAAGGAAGAGTCAGGAAAAGAATGGCTGCTCTTTTATAATCAATAACCTGTAGTTTCCATTTATCACTGGCTCACGGGCTGATTCAAACTGATACAGAGATTTGACATGAATTTCCAAAAGCAATGTAAGGAAAAGAGATCATCTTCTAATTTTTATAACAGAGTTTGCAGGCTGGGAGTCTAAGGCCAGGCGCTCACTGGAGGCAGTAATAGCCACCTGGTGGCTTAAGACAAATACCTGGGAGTCATGCTGCCTCTCCATACCGCATACCTGTTTGTACGCTTCAGGTCCCATTGGCTCTATATCCAGAATCTCTGCTTCTTTCCATCATCCTACTCATACCCCAATCCAAGCCACCATCCCCTGCACCTGCAGGACTGTCACATTGTCCTCACTGGTCTCCCTGCTTACTCTCTAATCCCCACCAATTTTCTCTCATTATAGCAATTAAGTATACCTCTTAAAGCATAAATAAAATTTTATCTTCTCCCCCAAGTTAAGCTCCCCCAATTGCCTTACTCAGTGGTCATGTAGACCACACCCTAATCTTGGTCTGGCTGCATGCTTTCTCCTCTGACTTTATTCCCTTCCCCTCCCCTCCCCTCTGCTGGCTGGGCTCCAGCTTCTCTGGACCTATCTAGTTTCTCCCCTCCAGCTCTTGCTGATGTTTTTCCTCTGCCTGGAAGGCCCCACATGCTGCCCCCTACTCATTTATGAGGTCTTAGCTAACTGCCCTCTCCTTAAAGGGGCCTCCTCTGATAACCATATCTAAGCAGGGGCTCCCTGTTTTCTCCATCTTTTCATCCTGTTGTTCTCTTCTTGGCACTTTTATCAGTTTGAATGTATGTATCTGTGTGTTTACTTGCTCATTGTCTCCCTTACTGAAGTGCCATTAAGATAGGAATCATATCTTTATCCCTATTAATTAGCACAGTGCCTGGCATACAGGAAGCACCCAGTAAATATTCACTGAATGAAGGAAAGACTGAAGCGGTGTTCTGAGGGGATGACATGGCCATGTGACTGAATCCATGCCTTAATAGAATCCACTTCTGCCCATGCCTGAGTAAAGTGTGGTTACCTGGTATCTGGTGGGTTTGCTGAAAGTGTTATTTGCTGTCAGGTTCTCAGAATTCCTCATGCCAGCCTGGTATCGAGTCTTCTAGAAGAAAAATACATACATAATACATAATTCATACATACCTAGTAGGACTTGAATAACACCCACTTTTGGGGTGGTCCCTAAAAAGAGGTCCCTTGGGAGGTCAATATGCCCAGTGCTGCTTGGCTTCCTTAGAACAGTTTAGTTCTGTAGGATGCCAACAGGTTATGGAATATTGTTTGTCAATTCTGGAAAGCACTGAGTTAAAGTTATATGTATGTCTGTCCTCCAGGACTCCTTAGAGGTTTTAATGTGCGAATATTGAGAAACCCCAGGAGGAGGAGGTAATGGGCAAGGAACCTTTCTTCCCAGAGATCATTCTCCAGTTACATTCCAGGAAGAGCTATTCTACTTCCAAGTCCACTAAGGAGTTCCCCTAAACTGGGGCCTGGGCTTGAGCCCCCAGCAATGCACCTGCCCAAGGAGCTGCAGGGAGCAGGTGGCCCCCGCCACTACTGCTGGTGCTATAGCTTTGCTGATGTGCCCAGAGTTTTGAAAAGTATTGGCCCCTTTTGGTACCTGGCTCTCCTTGTATCAGGGGCCCCATATGAAACACAAACAACTTCCTCCTCCCCCTCCTGCTGCCTTCTTAGCCCCATAAACTCCATGCTACC